AGTAATTCTGAGCTTAGTAGCGAGGGCTTAGACGGCGATAAGAGTGACTCTAATGACGAATACCTTAATAATAAGGGCTAGCTACTACTAGAATATTATATTGCCGAAGCTCTGAGCTTAGACGTCTCTTAGCTCCGATAGAAGAGATATAGTGACTATACGTAGGAGAAACTTAATAAAACTACTATATACTAGAATAGGTACGCTCTTTATTAGTAAAGCGCGTCTTCTTTAAATCTAACTCTTAGTCTCTTATTAGATATTATGAATATCTTAATCTAGATCCTTAGAAGCACTAGGGATGGATCTTAGATTCCGACGAGACCGTCCGTTTCTTATATAGATTCTTCGGTTAGCGTTGCGATATTCGTCGTAGGAGAAATAGCCGATATTACCCTAGTATTAGATATAAAAGCTCGCTTAAGTCATTCTGGAAATAGTGATACCTCGTTCTTAAATAATAGACTAGGTCGGGATTAGCTAAGGAAGTAATTATTAAAGTTTAAGATATAAGAAATTAATATAATCTATCTAAGCTAGTTAGGATATAATACTTACTAAAAGGTTTTAGATTATTATACTTATAGCTACGCAAAAAGGCCTTAAGCTAATACGGCGACCGAAGAAAAATATATATATTAAAGACGTCGCTAAGTTCGTACGCGTACTTCTAACTATCACTAAGATAACCTTTCTCTATAGCTAGTAGCGTATTTAAGTCCTATTTTACTACTAGCTCGCCGCTATCACCGTAAGCCGTCCGGGTACTCTTTTAGGGCTTCGCTACCGTGACCTTACGCTAACTTTAATCCGAGACCTAGAAGGAGGTCGCCCTAGACTTTTTATATTCCTTACTCCGGAATTCACTAAGAAATTCCTCGGAAAAAAAGCTCCGTGAGTATCTCTATCTCGGCTTTACTCGATAATAGGACTTATAGGCTAATATTACGAATAGGAATAAGTTTAAAATCCTAGAGATTATATTTAACCTAACGCTAGTGCTTAGTCCGTATATTTACCTACTCGGTATACTTTTCTACCTTAAAGGATTTAAGATAAGATCTATGAATAGACCTATACTAGACTATCCTAAGAATCTCTATCGCCTTCGGGTTCTAGATAGTCTAGGGTAATAATAGCTAGTCTTAAAGGAAGAGATAAAGAATAAGTTCGTGTTCTACTAGGTTACTCGGGATATCGCCGGTTATCGCATTATCTCGGATAAGCTAATAATATCGTCTATAATACGTTCTCGTATACGCCGAGTTAGCGAAATTACTAGTATAGAGCAAATCGTAAGGCCGTATCTTCTATAATATACTAGAGCTAAGGTATTTAATACGAGCGGTCGGTAGTTAAGCCCCCTTTAATAAGCTAATAACTAATAGTTTAAATAGAAGAGATAACAGACGCCCTTTAGAACGTTATATTATAACACTCCGATATTCGCACGTTTATTCGACACTATAAAGTAGACGTCGATATTAACGTTTAAGGTATTATAAGAAAAACGGGATCTTAGATAGCCTTAGTGCGATTCGCTTATTCCCTAAGTACTTCTATTAACCTAGATCGTTTATATAAGCTCTTATCTAAAGAATCTCGATTGATCAACGAGCTCCCGGAGGTTTATATAAAGTAAGATAAAGTTAATAAACGGAAAAGGAAGTAGGAAGATCGCTAGGCCTAACTTAAACTCGCTAAGACCGAGTTTCGAGCCTCTTAGGACTATTCGAAATAAGATTCGCCCTTTAATAATTTTCAAAAGAGGTTAGAAACCGCTCGAGAGCGAGTAGCGGAAGCTAGTCGGAAGAAAAATAGAGCTATTCTAGAGCTCCGCAGCGAGAAGTAACGCTAACGGAATTAGCGAATCCGTAAGAACCTAGAGTACTATAAAAATAAGTAACCTATGATCGATCTCGAACGTTAACTATAGGGGAAGTTTATAGATACGAAAGTCTTAGGGGCTCTGCAAAATATAAGCTCCTTAAGTCTAGAATTTATAAGAGTCATTAATACTATCTTAACTATACCGGGTGCTACGATAGAGGCGGAATATTAGCGTCGGATTAATATAATTAATACGGTGACCGCTTTTTGCGGCGTAGAAGAAGGTCGTCCTATATAAAGATCTATCTAGTCTCGTCGCCGATAGGCCGTCGGTAATCTTAATTCCTATCCTTCCTCTAAGCGACGTAAGAGCCTAGCATAAGACGACAAAAAATTCATACTCTAGAATATAATAGATTTAGTGCGAATTAAGTCTCCTAATATACGGCCTACGATCTACTTCTTATATATCGGGAATCCGAGTCTTCTACTCGAGAAACGAGTCACAAAGTATACGACACCTAGCTCACTCACACGACATTTTTTACGAAAGCACGTAAATACTCCTTAGCTAACCGAGGGGGTTCCGTGTTATATCTATAATAGTAAGTACCTCCAGCATAAATCGACACTTATTAACCACGCGGAGAGGGCCTACGGTATAGTTATCCGAGGCTACGCTTAGGCGAGGCTTATAGAAGAGTTATCTAATACCGTACCTAAGGGAGGCTTACGAGACAATTAAAAACTGTGATATTTAAGGAACGGATAAACCCTAACACACTCCCGCACTATTATTTCGTCTATTTTCTCATTACCTAATATCTATTCTAATTTAGCCTTCCTTTATGTATTAATCTCTCGGTTTTACTTAAAGGTCGGGTGAGGGGCGAACATCGGCCGTCTACTCTTAGCCGCAAAGCGAGCTAATGATATAGAGCTATTAGTATATTTTTATCAGTGTATTTTTCAACGCGCCTATTATATTCTCTTGCCTCTTATTTATCCAAAATCACTAAAAGCCTATATAGAACTCTAGATAGTATAATAGTGTCCTCTTTATACGCGGAGTATTTACGTAGAATTCTACGGTAGATAAAGTAGAATAAATTATTAAATCACTTAGATTCTTCTTACTCTAATATATACTAGGCATTTCGTACCACCTAGGCCGCTCTTATAAGCGGGAGAATCACCGGATAACCTCTATTTACTCCTTTGTTTTCTAGTATCATTTAGAACAATTAGGAATAGCTTAGATCCTTCCTAGAGCATTTTAGATCACTCTTAGAGCAGTCTAGATCGCTCTTAGAGTAGTCTAGATCACTCTTAGAGTAGTCTGGATCACTCTTAGAACAGTCTAGATCACTCTTAGAACAGTCTAGGTCACTCTTAGAGTAGTCTTAATTACTCCTAGAGCAGCTAGGATAGGTTAAGAACCTTAATGTACTCCTCCTCTCTGACTAATGTACTATATATCCACCGTGATCTATTTAGGTATACTATATCGAACCGTCTACTCGCAAAACAGCCTATTTCATCTACGCTTATATCTGCCTATCGTATTACATCGTCTTAAGTCTGAAAACCCATATTCTGGTTAAACCTATTTCAGATATTCACTCTGAGTTCAGAAGTGTGTTATAATCGACCAGGATCAATATTCTGTTCTCCATCTCGACCTAAGGGTATTTGTTGCATTCAGGCCGTCCGAACTCGGCTGAATCAGTAGCACCAATAGGATTATCGTAACCAGTCTATATTCTATTCCTGGGATTACATATCAGTACACGTGATCTTCATAGGGCTTAGGTCCTCAGTTGAACATGGCACAGAATTCGCGTGCTGATTTAAACCGCACGCCTATCGCGTACAGTACGTCCCGAAACTGGTGCAACAGTTTACACTCTTTAAATGATTATTTAGCCCCACTGAGAAGAGGCACTAGACCATATTAAGAATATTGACGGAATAACAATATTCCTGTACCAGTCCCGATACCGTGATTTATTTTCATTAAATACGGTACCTCGTCTTGTGACTGTATTGGCGATCCAAGGGAACTAGATGCAAATAAGTCAAACACAGAGCTTGGGAGTCCCTCGAGAATCTGGCGATCTGTCACTTCCCTTCTGCTCCTATATCCAAGTCGGTCTGGGGGGCTTACTCGGCACCGGACCTGCAAATAGTGACTTGCATTACTTACTTACTGTTGTTACAGACCACTCATGAGCCCGCTTATCATACTGTAATACTTAGCTTGTCAGCCACAGTCCTCTCTTCTTCGCGCCCCGGAACGCACCTGGTGGAAGCTGACACACAACCATGTTACTAGACTCCTTCGTGGCATCTTTTGCCTTGGGGGGATGACTCACACTCCTTTTAACGACGATGATGACGATGATGCTTACCGACCTGAACTGCCCAATCTATGGGAACGGACTCCCTCGTATGCCCCCACCCCTGGTCACCCAAACCGTGAATGGACGCCATCAGTAATCTGCCCTTCACCCGATTCTGAGGATATAGTTAGTGAATGTTCACCTTCCTTGCATTAACATCTATCGGATCAGCAGATTTTTGAAAATGTGGTTGAACGTGCAGATAGAAGTGCATGGGATGAATAATCTCCGGACTGCATCCACTACCAGATCGAGTAGAGGGTTAAAATGAACAATCGAGTTGTGGTTAAGGATACAAAATAAGACCTTATTCAGCCACCTAGATCCTACTGGGAATAGATAAAAGAGGATGCTTGTAATATTCTAGGGCGGAAGATAGCCCGTGGCCGGCGGGTGAGACTAGATGATACCGATATGGTGTTATCGGTGAACTCCCAACGGAATATTGATAAACACTTTGAAGGTACTAGTGTTGATTAGACCGCGGTGGAGAAACAGCTGCTAGCGTGAGCCTATCTTTTCTATCGTGGCAAGAAGATCCGGCTCCAGATATCGATTAATTACATAGAAGATAGTGGACCTCTTCCTCCTAGAACGGATAAGCGAGGAAAGTCATCGGTGAGTACGTAGAATAATGAATATTTACTGACCTAATTGATAGCCAGATACTCACGTATGCGACAAAAGAGTCTGGGATTCGGGATGGACAAAAGCTCCACTTCTCCGATTTTGAAATAATTGTATGTTCTGGACTGCGTATATTCCAATCTACCTAGTAATACTAAGATGCTCTTCAAGGAAGGGAAGGACCTGGTCTAATGCGGGCTTGACAGCGTCGGGTTTGTCGTAAAGCATATAATGCGAAATACCCGGGAGCACGACAATGCGCTTCTTCTGGGAGCCTGCCCGTCTATAGATCTCCTGGGCATTACGGTAGGCGCCGAAACCACCGGGTTTGTCACCGACGACGGCTATGAGCGGCTTCGTTATAAGTACCTCGGCGTGATTGAAGGCATCCTATGCGAGAGCGGCGCTATTAAAGGAAAAAAGACCGCTAGTGTAGCCATTGGGCGCCTGGCCGCGGGCGGTCTTGTAATATTCAGTCGCTTCGATAACGTCGATGTCTGTAGTCGACTTCTTAGCCTCATCGACTGATGGAGGTAGTAAATTGATAATAAGACGCTGGCCACCCTGTGACTTAATAGTTCGCTGTTTAGCCATCTTTTCTAATGAGCTAACAGGGTCGAATTCGCTGAAGGCTTCGCGAGAGAGTCGGCCAAAGTTCACAGGTGTGATACCGACACAACACTTGAAACGGTAGTCCGTTATAGCCGCATTAATAGCGTAGCCACCCCCACCACAGATTCCGAGCACACCGATACGCTCGGCATCGACATAAGGAAGTGTCTGGATATAGTCGACAACAAAGCGAAAGTCCGAGACGCGGAACTTAGGGTTCTCGATGAAGCGAGGCTCACCACCGGAAGCGCCTTGGAAAGAAGCGTCGAAGGTGATAACAACGAACCCTGCCTCCGCTATTGCCTTTCTATATATGTTGCCCGAAGTCTGCTCCTTACAGGAGCCGATAGGGTGGGCAGAGACGACGGCGGGGTACTTCTTTTTCTCGTCGAAGCTGGGTGGAAAGTGGATATCGGTAGCGGTTTTCCACGCGATGTTTGGGATGCTGACAGACTTAATTGTCTCTGGTATTATTGTAGTTTGTAAAGTCTTGGAAGATTCTCGACCCTGGACAAATCGCCAGTCGTGATCGTGGGGTTTAAGAGCTGCAAGGGGATAATTATATTTCGGGAATAATATCATGATGTCACAACGTACATAATTAAAACTTATCGGAGGCCGAAAATTTTCGGGCCCGGGTTTCACATCAGAGGTGTGATGAGTGACCAACGAGTTTCGGCCGATCGTCTTAAGTCCGATACTGCCGCTCCTCCGGAAGCAGCGCCACGGTATGAAGAGTGTCTTTGAAAAATAGATACATTTCGGGTCAGTGTTATTGAATCTGTATAGTACCTACGATAATTCCCCGTCCATTCTTAGCGCAGATGAGGTTTCGTTAGGGATTAATCAAGTAGCCAATTGTAGGTGGCTTCGCTGCTGTGAAACCTTAGAAAAAGTATTAATTAACATAATAAGAGAGTGCAAACAAACATAAAATACATATTTTTTATACATAGTAGTCAATTAGTCACCAGTCTATAACTAATAATATAAAAATAATCTCTACTCTATGTGTGAGGAGGTATGAGAATATACTAATAACCTTGGAAGACCGGGGATTCTGTGATTCGGTTTCATATGATAAAAACCTAGCTTATGGAGACAGTAATCTCCAGCTTGTCTAGTGTGGGCAAGAAAGAGTCAGCAATATTTCTGGTTTATGTCGGCCGATCCGCTTTCTCTATTACATAATATTCCATCGGCCGAAGCTAGTCATAGGGCCCGAAGGCACGGGGTGTTATTATCGATCCACCGCACCCGATGATCTTCGCGACTATTGGCGAATATAAATTTGAGTGTCCGCGATCTAATCCAAGGAACTTAAGATCAGGCTATATTTCAGGCCGCCCATTCTCAACGAAAGAATCATCGACTTCAAAACTTCTCTGCACGATGACCGAAATTTCCATCAAAAAGGGACCAATTCACTTAGCTGGCCTAATCTTCAGACCTTCCAGCCCAGCGGCAAAGACAACACCCGCATTGGTGATCGTCCATCCTGGGGGTGGTGTCAAGGAGCAAACCGCTTAAAACTACGCCCAGAAACTGGTAAACGCTGGTTTTACAACCATTGCCTACGATGCCTCCTTCTAGGGCGTAAGTGAAGGCGAACCTCATTTCCTTGAAGACCTAAATGAACGAGTGAGCGATATCTACGCCGTTATCGATTATCTTCAAAACCTCGATTCTGTCGACCCAGAGAAGATCGGTATCTTAGGTATCTGTGCTGGAGGTGGCTATGTAGCTGCAGCAACAAAGGCAGACCATCGACTAAAGGCTCTGGCAGCTATCAGCATGGTCAACATCGGAGATTCCGCTCGCAAGGGTTGGGATGGGGATGAAAATCCTTCCGGGTAGGTTGACTCACTTCGTGCGGCTGCAGCCCAAATCACTACTGAAGCTAGAAACGGCGGGGAACGCGCTTCCGCTCCTTATGTCCCTCCCCAGCCTGACAGTAAGACCCCGAGGGATATGAGAGAGGCTAGTGATTATTACCTCACCCCGCGCGTATAGCATCCCCGTGCTAAAAATAAAATGCTGTTCCTTAGCTTTCCGCGGGTGCTTACTTTTGATGCTTTCCACCTGGCAGACGTATTCCTCAAACAACCTACTATCCTTATTGCCGGCGAAAAGGTAGGATCATTATGGCACACGGAAAGATTGGACAAGATGCTTAGTGGTGCTACGAAAAAGCTTATTGTTCCGAATGGCGCGCATATGGATTTCTATGATAACGAAGATTATGTTGGACCGGCTGCTGAGAACGTTGCCGAATTCATGAAGAAACATCTCGGCTAGTGTTAGATAGGCTATTTGTTGTTGGTCCGGTCCCGTTTGAATTAGAGTAAGTTGGAATTGGAAATATGTCAATAATATCTTTTAGCAAATGCGAAGGGCGACGCGAATGGGACCACCATTCTCGGCGTAAGCAGAAATGAGTTTAATTAAGTGCGAAGCGTTACTTTCAGTCAAAAGGACTCTATGTGGCAATCTCTGTGTTCGATACTTTATGTAAACGGTTTAACAAATAGTATAATTCCCAAGATTTAGTTGAAAAATTTGGGGCAGCATAAAAATGAGCTGCCTAAAAATGTAAATACTTGCCAACGCCAATCTAGCTGCTTTACAGTAGAATAATGTTAGGGAAGGGAAATCCACCTCATACAATTATATCATGAAGAAAAAGCGTAATAGACCGACGCGTAGCTGCCTAATTAATTATTGACAGTAGGGGCCAGAAAGACTTATTCTGTGTGTACTGGTCAAGACGATTGTAAGATTGGCTGTAGCAAAGTAGCACAGGACTTGATACAGTATGATTATTTGATAGTGTACATCTCCGATCCAAAAAGTTGGGAAAAAAGCAAAATGAAATTATAAAATGCTTGATCTCGTGGGACATTTCCAAAACATTTTCTTCAAGGAGATTTTGCCTCGCCATCCCCAGACACAGGTATCATTTAGGGTTTTAGGGTTAGTTTTAGGGTTTAGGGTTTAGGGTTTTAGGGTTA